CGCCTACGCCTGGCTGGGCTTTGCTTCAGGGCGAAGTCAAGGGAATCGCAGGCAGGTCCTGCAGGTCCATGTCTCTTTTTTCGCTGCCTGAACTGGTGATGCGTGCGAACATCCCAAAAAAAATCTTGCTAAAATAGCAAAATGTGGCTTCCCATCGCGAATTTAAAGTGGCTCTTGAATTGTAAAACAGGGTTGCGAACCGCAATCGCCGAGAAACCGACAACCGTCTCTCGCCAACCGCCAACCGCCAACCGCCTCTCGGTGCACGTGTGTCTAACGGGGTTCGTTCACGAACCGCGTCCGCTTCGCAAACGCAGCTCAACCGCCAGTGTGAATGTGCCATGAGCGCGGCCGTACAGCCTCGCCGGAGTCTGCCCGGGCGGGCTCTGCTGGCTCTGCGGCCAACCGTTCCCTCTTACCGGCGGCCGGGCCGCTGCGCTGTCATAGTGAGGGCTGCTCTGGTGGCGGTCCTTGGAACTACGCCGCGCGGCAGCCAATGGGGTTCCTTGAAGCTATGACGCGCGCCAGCCAATGAGAGCCTATCCATGAGAGCGCTGCTACAGACGACAGGCTTGGCTCCAGGGGGACAGGGGAGTTTATGTGCCATTTGGCGCGGCTTCAAGAGCTGATAACGTCGGTTCGCTCCAAGGCACAGTTAATGCTTTCGAATAAAAAATAAAGGAAAAACTAACAGCGTTCTTCCCCTCAACTCGCAGCCAGAACAAGCGGCCAAGTGATCTGGAGCCGATGTTATGCCGCCAGTGTTTACTAAGCCACACGCTGGAGTTGGCGAAGCACAGGACACACGTTGAGTTTCAGACATCGTTAGAGTTCGGTTAATGTCGTCATTGAAGCGATTGAGCAGCATGAGCCATTACCTGAATGCTTGTCAATCTATTGATTGTCCCGAGTCCAAATTGAGTGCTCACGCAGTGGTCGGGCCCGATCTATGAGCCGCATTCAAATATCGTCACTAGGGGGCACTACAACTTCCAAGCTACGTCATCAAGTTTTGCGAAAGAGAGATTGAAAGAAAACTCTTACTTGTATTCTTGAAATCGCACCACGACAAAGAGGTTTCCCTGTCAATAGCATTATGTGCGAGTATACTCTGGTCCCACTAGTAGCAGTAAGCTCGTGTAAAGTAAAAAACTTCCATTCGAATATAGTTACGGAGGAGAAATCCCTCCCTTTGCTCCGCGGGATGAGCAATCAGGTGGTAACAGGGTCACGCTTTTTCACGGAGCCGCGCCGACGTCGACACCCCAGGGTCATGGGGGAGCTTTTGCTCGGGGTTCACGAACTACAACCTACTGCAATCCTGACCTGCCCACAACAGAATGTGCCAGCGCGCACCTTCTAGTACATGGCCGCGGCCGCAGCGTTTCGTCACGCCACGACTTCGAGGCGCTGCACAAAGGTTGTTCCGTTTCCTATGGTGTCCGCATATCAATCGAAGGCGCGCCGGTGGTAAAGCCCCTTATGTAAACCGCGTTTGGGGTGCAGAAAGCCTTTGCCAAGCGCCCCCAATGTCAAAGCCAGGCACTTCATCGGCGACAGCGTCTCCCATGTCTCCCATAGGGATCCATTCTGTGCGCATGGATTGCAGTAGGTCCTGGCACAAACACTCCGCCTTGGCGTCGGATCTCTTGGCAATTGGCGGCATTTTGTTCACGTGTTTGGCAATCGTAGAGTTTGCTCAGCGATATACCGGCAGTGGCATGGGGATCGCCTAACTTGTTGTGGCTTGCGCTGTTGCGCATATTGTCTGAGGCACCCAAAGGAGTCCTCGATGTTCATCAATGCCGTTCTCAAGCCGCTCCTCATACATCTATTTTTTTTTTATTACACGTCATTTGTGTTGCATCCACCCATTCAAGAACCATCTTTCTTTTAGCAGGAAGCAGTTCGTCGTCCTCTGCATCTAACAGCGCTGCTGCCATAATTATGTATCGCCGTTTCATGTACACTTACATTTTCTACTCTCGTCAGCGCGCACCGAGCCCTGCTGTCGAGAGTGCGACCGCTAAATGCGTCTGATAACACTGACATCCCTCTCCCCGCCGTTTGTGTGAATGCCCGGGTCGGGGAGGGAGTCCCGCTAGTTCCGCTGAGCACTGGTGTCACGCACGTCCCTCCCTAAAAAGCATCCCCAATCCGGATACCCCATTAACTCCACATAAAAGTCAGACAAAAAGAACGTGGACAATTCGTTCCGCATCAAGTTTTGGCTCTTTCAAGACCCCAAGAAAACGGCGTCTGCTGTCAAACGTTGGACGCCACCTGACGTAGTCCTCAGCCGGGCATTTTTGCTACGAATAAATTATTTGAACGCAGGCGAGCCAATGCAAATCTAAGATATTGAGCGAGAGACTGTGCCATAAACCAGAAGTTGCAATGTTCCTGGGTTCAATTTCCCGCTCGCGCCCGTTTAGTGCGGCGGTGTAATCACTACTGCGTGATGCACGTAAAAGACCCCAAGCTAGGTTGAATTGCACTTCGACTGCGTTGAACGAGTATCGTCATTGTTCGTTGGACTTGGGGCTGATGTTTTTATCTTGGACGTACCTGGAATGCAAGTAACCGATGTTTCTTGATAATTCGGGCTTGCTTGTGCTTGAGTGTGTTTTCGTGCGTGCTTGCGTTTTTCTTGCTTTTGGTACATACGCACCAGTGCATTTCTACCTTCACTACTATGTACCCCCCCCCCCCCCCTCCCTGCAATAATGCCCTCGGGCGCTGCGGGGTAACCCGAAATAAATAAATAAATAAAGACTTCGCTTCATGAACACTCACAAGGTCCAATTAAATTTACTTTGCTGTGACACGCAAAATGACAAGCTTATTTGCTACCTTCGTCATGTGCGCGTCCGTGCGTGTGTAAGGGCATGCGTGTACGCCTGTGCGTGTGTGTGCAATGAATTCCATGAGGCGCTCTGTCTGTATTAATAAATGAGTAAATAAACGCAACTCCTCCCAAAACCTTTACTTCGTGTGATGAACTGTGTGCGATGTTTGATGTCGTCTGCTCTAAGATGTTACACACGTTCCTTCAAAGCAAGAACGAAAGCTCGTTCCTCGTTGTTTCTAAATCTTGGAACGTGTTCCCGTTACCAGTTCCAGGGGTTAGAAAGGGAGGCGCTCATGTTATATTTTTAAGATTGGAACGCCTCATTACATTAAAGTTACGTTTGCATCTATTTTAATAAAGTATTGCGCTGGATAATTTGTAGATAAAAAAAGCTAACAAGTGAAAGTATCCAAATCGCCCTACGTCTCGAGTCGGCACGATCACAGTTGTTCCAGCTTTTTGTTCTCGACTGCCTCTCGGACACTTCCTTATCCTTTCAGGTCGGAGGTTAGAACAGTCGATAATCCTAAATGCCTACCAAATTCGGGTAAAATTGCAGATTGTTTATCTTGCCGTTCCCTCAAAAATGTAACCGAGTCTTCGTCCATCCGACGCAAGATGGGACAGTGGCGTTTCTTCTAAAGGAACGCGTTCCACGAACGTCGTTCCTTGGAACGCCGTTCCGTAGAACACTGGCTCTAAGCGACTTAAAACTCCGCGGCAAACCAGGTTCTGTTGCGAGATACCAGAGGCACCTTTGTTTTCTTCCCCACGTACGTTGAGGTTCTTGCCCGGCACGTCCTCGATGAGCTGCCTGGCGATGTCCTTGCACTTGTGGACGGCATCCTTGGGCACTCGGGCGTCGTTCTCCCAGTCCCGGTGCACAGAATGTGTGTACAGGGCCGCCGGCGTCGCGTGCGTCACGCGCGTCGTGGTCACCAGGCCCGTCGACATTCCTGCCGCCGGACAAGGTCACGCACCAGGTTCATTCGTGCGCACTCTCGTAGATCGAAGACATCGCAATCGCGCAATAGACCCTTTTCGAAACATGGCAACTTTAATCACTATCATCACCTGAGTGTATGGTATCTGTACCAAACTAATGGCGGCCTCCTTGAGGCTGATGAAGAAAGAGGTTGAAGGTATTGCCAAGCGGAGGATACAAAGGCCCGTACTACGTTCGAGACGTCAGCACAAGACGCACAAATTAGATACGACAGCTGCGTAAGCGTTTACGTCGAAGTGTGGTCCCATCAATCTCTTGGCACATGTTCGGCTCTAAAGCCTTTCGATTGCGGAAATCAAGGGGTTTATGGGTCTCCGCTTTATACTGCCCAGTACTTATGCGCATACCATCGAAACTGAAACAAATCAAGGAATAATTATCGGATGATCGAAGAACCAACTCTGATATGCCACTGACGTGCGAAAGTGATGGTGCCCGATAGAATACAGTTTCATGACCGCCATTGATTTGTCGAAAGGGAAACTGTTTCTTGACCCACCAGATGACAGTGAATTTTAAAATGGGTCCATATATTAGAGACTTAGCATCATCCAAGAAGAGAGAAATGCACTCGCACGAAATTAATTATGTCTTAGATTTCATCTATCTTTTACAGTCGCCGACATGATTAGAAGGGAAGGAAGGCCCTCCAGATGTCTTGCCTGTAGCGCGAGCTTCCTGCATTCCATAAAGCCTTGGCGGCTTGTGACCCTCGAGTGTGTACGGGCAACTAAAGCACGACGGAAGGCAAGAGTCCAGGCCTTTTAATAAGATGCCCTGCTATTATCATCGTGTCGGTGACTTTATTTGTTGACAGGTTAAAGGGATTGTCCGGTAAAATTTCGTCTTTCAGAAAGCAATTAAATTATGTTGACATTGCTTTTGGGAATATCATTCGCACAATATCCGAATTTTTGGTTTTACGCCGCTCAAGTAATTCAATTTTAAACAGAGCCCAACTGCTAGGACTGCACCCGCAAAACACATAGCGTTTTCATTGGCAACAGCGCAAGTTCTGACGTAACATCATGCAAAGATAGTCACGACTGTTGTTGACTGCTGTCTCAGTAAACTAACTTCGTTCGAAGAAAGACAGATTTACGGTGTTGAGGGAAGATCAATTGTGTGACGATGATCTTGGTACGCACCATCAACCATGTTAATCAAAGACGGAAAAAAGTCAACGCTTGCGACTCTTACCGCTTCCACGTCACGACACGCCCAGCAATGAAAACTTGCGAAATTTGCCATGAAATTTCGAAATGATGTTCATAATGGATTTGACAAATATCGTGGCGTCTTTTAATAAAATAAATATCACATCTTACTATATTTAGGCCTTATTTACGGGACCAGCGCCAGAACATATTAACTTTAGGATATCACCGGACAATTCCCTCAAGAATGCCGTAGTAGTTCGGTAGCTCGGCCTCCCGCACGAGCTCGTTTTCTTCAGCGGGGCTTTGGCTGCTCGTGCGCCGGAATAACGTCAAGTGTAGGAAGTTCACGCCAAAGACGGGGTATCTACTACATTCCTGACCTGTCACCGCCTTGTAGTATACATACAGCTCGTGAAGACACAAGGTGTCCCTTCCGTGACCCGGATCAAGACGTATATATCTGCATGTAGACGCTGAGAGAAAATTACAGAAATATTCATTAATGGATTCTTAAGGAATGTGTTAGCATGACCCTTGAGAAACGCCACACACATCCCCTTTTGGAAACCGTTAACGCTGACCCCTTCACTTTTCTGTTTTGGCTTTCTCTTCTGACTTTCTCTTTTGACTTTCTCTTTTGCTTCCTCTATTTTGCTGTCTCTTTTTGGCCTCGTTACGGGGTCAGTGTCAGCGTTTCTCAAAAGAGCACGTGTGTGGCATTTCCCAAGGGTCATGCTAACGCATTCCCTAACAATCCACCAATAGATCTTCCTGTAATTTTGTTCCCTCTTTTCTGCACTCTGCCTGGCAGAGTACATCGACGCTCTTGGATACGGTCATTCATATCACTCCTGGAAGGAACTGCATTCATATCACTGGTGGAGAAAACCGCATCCATCGTTTTATCTACAAACACACACACGTCACAGCCCACGCACCGCTATACGGAAACACAGCGAAGAACAACCAGCGACGGCAGGGCGGCACCTGAGCACGCCCGCATCCCACCGCGCCGTGGCGCGTCCTCCTCCCTGGCTCCGCGCCAGCTGTGAGCGCGACATTGACGAAAACGAAAGGGCTCGTTTTGATGAAAACCAGGCGGTGTGTCAGCGTTGCAGCGCCGGGGAGAGAGGGAGAGGTCGACACGCGCTGACGTCAGAGCTTCGGACCAATGGAAGCGTCGTGCGCGTCACCCTCTCACTATCCTTCTCTCTCTTTTCCCGGTGCTGACAAATGAAAGACACCGCCGGATTTTCATCAAAAGGAGCGTTCTAATTCTAACGCATTGATAAGAACAGCAGTGAGGACTTAATTACCCTGCCTCCACCGCGAGCTTCCAACCTTCCAATCACGCTTCCGATAAGCTTTCGGTTATCGGCCCTGTGCTCCATGTCATCTTAAAGCATCTTGATAAAACTCACGCTCCAAGTTTCTTACAAGTACCGCCAAGCATTTTTCAGCGAACGCGCAAGGCATGTGCCACGAGTGGGTGCTCCACAGCCATCCGCTTCCTAGCGCCGCTTATTTTGGTGCTGTGCCGCCATTTGCTTCCAATGGCAGCACGAGGAATAGGCTACGTGCCCCGGCGCATTTGTCGCTACAAGCAGACTTGTACACGTTACTGAAAAATAGTAAGGAATTACATTTACAATTACTCGAGGCTAAATTGTAATTTATTACAACTACAATTACCCTCCCATGAAAGTAACTGACCGTTACCCCAAAAAGTAATCCGTTACTCTCGAGCGTTACTTTTAATATTATTGTCCTCAAGTAAGAAACAAAGGGAAGAGGGTTATTCAAGTTCTTATTGTTGCCACCTGTTCCATTTAATGACCTTGAGTATTTTGAGCAACAGCTGGCTCTCGAAAGTCTCGTCAGACATTTTGCGTTATTTCTTACTCAATATGTCGACTGCTACGCTGAACACCATTTGAGCTGCGGCACTGGATGGGAGTGCCATATTGTTCCTCACGAATGCTTCATGCTCTGCATCGAGCTTTTTCAGCGAAGCAGGGAAGTACTATTTACCTCGAAACATAGCAAAGCTTCGTCGTTCCAGCCGTTGCCATGCTATTCGAGAGATTTAGTAGATCCTTCCGATACCGCCGATACCGATATGATGCATACGCAAAGACGGCGGCGAAGTATCGGATATCATTATCGGAGTCATCGGACCGATCTACTAAAATTCTCCATTGTCTAAATCGCGAAGCTGTAGAAGTCATCAACAGCAAAACAGTAACAGTAAGGTGATAATTAAATAATAAATAAGGTTTGGCTCGATATTCTTCTTCCTTTGGTTCTGAACGGTTCGAGCTTCACTTGAGACGTTGGTGAATAAAAAAAGTTTCCAGTATATAAATGTAAGTAATAAAAGAAAAAGAAGGACCCTCATAACAACAATTAATTAGAGCGTCGGTTAAAACAAGGAAATGTAAACGCACGTTTGCCGTGTGTACTTTTCTTGGTGCCGTTCAAAAACGCACGGAGCACGGACCGACTGCAGTTTACTTTGGTGTTTTCCAGATCGACGTCCGCTGATGCCACGGGCAGCAAAGGGCAGAGTACTAGTAAGCCGCGCTATGGCCCCACTCACGAATTTCACTCTCTCCTCAAGCCCAGAATATCAAGTCTACGACAGCCACCATTATGTTTTATTTGTAAAAATATCTGCTTGAGATAAGATGCGTCCTGCTGGGGCAAAACAGGAAGAAGAAGAAAAGAAGCCCATTACCATTTTATAAGTGCTCGCAAAAAGCTGACTCACAAAAAGGGTAGGGTAGACGGAGCGTTGTCTCGTGTTGTGACATTATGAAAATGGTCGTAGAAGGACATTGTTAATTCTTTTCAGTGCACTTACCCCCTCGAGCTTCTCGAAGAGGCGCACAATCACTTGGTGTCCTCCTCTCCCCATCTTCGATCGCAAGGAAAAAACATAGGAACTAAAAAAAAAGAAAAAAAGACTTGCCCCCCCCCCCCCCCACCTTTTTTTTTTTTTTTTTTTTTGTAGAATTGTTGATTTGGATTTTTGACATTGATGTTAGGGTCTAAAAAAAAGATAGATTCAGGGGCTTGGTGTTGCAAAAAAAGGGTTTGCGGAACTGAAGAGTGCCAAGCCTCTCTTTGCGCTGGTCGATTCGCCTGACAGTGTCACTGCGCTCGACTTTACAAAAAAAAAAAAAAATCTTTATTTAGAATTGGAGGGGGGGGGGGGCGGTTGGTTCTGACAAAAAAAAAATGTAACGGATTACAAGGAATCTGTTACGTAAAAAATGTAACGGAATTACTTTAAAATTACTCTAGAAAATATGTAATTAATCCGTTAATAAATTACTGATAAATTTAAGGGATTACAAGTAATTTCGTTACTTGCAACGGATTACGTACAAGTCTGGCTACAAGTAAAACCATAAGAACCCAGGGATCCTGGTTTCAATCCCCACCCCTGCCCGTGTCGATCTGGATGAGCATCGTACCGGCGTGCGGTCGTGTATCATTACTGCGTGGTGCACGTTAAAGACCCCAGGCTAGCGGTTGTAACGCACTGGCTAAATGTCTCATCTACAGCTGGGAGACTCGTCGCCCGTTTAGGCAGACCAAGTTCCAGGCTATATAAACATACATCAACCCAATTTTTTTTTTTTTGTAAAACCATAATATCAAGGGCTTTATGTCCTTTCAGTGACTATATCGCGAAAACAAAGTAAAAAAAGTAAATTTTGAATTACTGAGTGTAACAGACGTCCTGAATCCATTGAAGGCTATGACGACCAAAACTGCACGACGTCATGCACCATCACATTCTGAGCATCACATTATAACAAGTTATAAGTGTTTTCGGTGCGGTGTGCCGTCTTTCGGCCCGACCTTTGTCCTGCGCCCTCTTGATGAAGGAATCCATTTCGTGGCCGGCCAGCGAGTCACATTCCGAAATGTTGGCCATGGCAGACACCCCCAGCATGGTGAACTTGGTCTTGGCGCCGCAGAACAGCGCCGTAGCTGAAGCAGCGCTGTCCGTCACCTGCTTGTCCACTGCGTAGGTCTGCAAGGAAATTACATCCCTCGTCGTAAGGGTGCAGGGACCCCTTCCAACCCGCTTCTAAGTATTTACGAACTTGGGTTACGAACTACGGGAACTAGTGTGCGAGATTCTAACAGGATAAAAATATCATTATCACAGATTTCGAGTGTAATACCCGATTTATACGGTAGCGTAATAGTACCTGTAGCTAAGATCCCTTTAAAAAAGGGAGCTGGATATCGTTATCAAACGGCGCTTAAAGATCACTTTAACGATAGGAGGGCCTCTGTTAAAGGGAGCCCGGCAATCTCCCTATACAGCTTTACAGCTACAGAGAATAGCGTCGGACCCATAGACTCGAAATAAAAAAATGACAGATGTTTGCTGTCTAATTCGCGATTACAAATTGATTAATTCTAAGTGCCAATTATTTAATTCATTTTGAACACAGACTTGATACAATAAGCTAGCGAGAAACATATACTCACGCTACCAGCTCCAGTCATCAAGCGTTCCCTTGAACGTGTCTATCCAAAAAAATGCGCCCACTTCTTACAAATACAAATGCCACACGACGTCGTATACGCAAAGACCATCATCGAGCTCGGAAGTCAACATGTTATCATACAGATTTGCAAGCATTGGCATGCACTTCTCGAACTGCGTGTTTGGAGGTGTAGGACGTTTATTTTCCGAGATCATGACGGGAAGCACCTCATTATAGAGTTAGCTCGTATGATGCCTACCGCCGGTGGTTCCTTGAATAACAAAGCAAAACAAGAGCAACTATAACAAACTAGGTAGTGACCTCCATAGTAATATCTTACCAGTTATTTATGTTTATTGAAATACACTGCCTGGAATCTCGCCCCTGTGATGGCGGCCGCAATGGCCCGCCCGTCCGAGGAGGCCGAGGGCATGGGAAGATGGCGAGCTTTCTTCAGGACAGGACACGCGGATGGGTCAGCAAATCGTTCGTAGGCAAGCCTTTCACTTCGAAACAATGCCTCAGCTTCTTCAATTGACCACCTCGAGGTGTGCGTTGCCCCTTGTGGGCAACTTTGGGATTCCAAGCGTTTGGCCTAGGTTGCCCCTCCAACAATCATAAGGGGTCATCTTGACCACGAGGGGGCCAAGGGCAACTTGCCACGCGAGCGGCGCTCCGCCGCTGATAAAGGGCCCTCGCAGCGTATGCGCGGGGGCTGTTGGGATCGCGGCGCAGGCGATAGCGGTCATTAAATGTTTACGTGTTGTTGAACCGATGTGCTGTGTCATTCTCCGAGACGGGTAGCAGCAAGGGAAATCCCACAATCTCTCGTTCGTGCTCGTCCTGCTCCATACGCCATATCTGCCTGAAATGCCGAGGTTCGAACTAAAATGGGCCGTAAAAATTCGCGCCTGCACGTAGCATTCGAAATTTTTCGTTAAAGGTGGATTTCACAGGTGGATTTTACATCGCTAAATTATCAGGCGTAGCTCCCTTATTGTAAAAGATAGGACCAAAGCTTACCAGGGTCAACGGCGGACGGCGACGCAGATGACCAAGTCTGGTGCTAGGGCGCGTTCGTCGCACGTATTGATAGATACGTGAGCCAAAGGTGGGCCAGTCTTAACTAAACGTGGCTCCACGTTGCAGTGGGCATGGGGCATTAGAAGATAAATAAATAATTCTAAGCAATGTTGTTGTTTTCTCAGTGAGGCTAGAATTGGTAAATAAGCTAAATTCAAACTTGTGCCGATGAAACAAAATCGAGAGTGCAGGCGAGCTGGTTTAAGAGTAACATATAGGGAATCCCTCAATCGATTAGGAGCGGTTCTGGAGCGCTCTCATGTGGATATCTTCAGCGTGTGTGAGCGCACACTCGCATTCACCGCACTAAAGGCGAGAGCATCAAGTGCTTTTGAAAAGCTTCAAGTCCACCGAGGGAATTCCCCATAATAAACCTGAAGCAAAGAAAATACACGAAGAAAAGCTAATAATATTTTCGATTTATGTCTCGAGTCGACTCACTTTGACCAGCGCTGTGAAGGGAAAGCGCTCGAAGGAGAGGCTGGACTCTTCTCCTCGGTGACCCTTCAGCTGCCCCCCGTAGATCCGGGACGCCGTCACCGTGGAGATGCCCATGCCGTCACCCACGAAGACGATGACGTTCTTGGCCGGAGCATCCACCACGTCGGTCTCAAGCAGTCGCTTCAGTGTGTCCTGACCATGCTGGACCCAGTACTTGGGCTCCAGGTCCTCAGGCACCTCGGGCACTGGACACATTAGAGGACACAAACTCGGTCACGACCTTGATTTCAGAGCCGATCTAATGTTCGATTATAGACCAACAAGCGGCTCCTACGTCACGTTACCGTGGTGCTGTCGTCACGGCGCATGTGAAAACGCTTCACCTCAAAGCACCTCGTTTCTTTGCTAGCGCAGCGCCATGCACTGCACTACTGTTTGCGGACATGTTCGAAGCGTACAAATGTGTCAAGCATTTAAACATGATTGACACGTGTCCTCAGATAATTCCGCCACCATGTCTGCAGTCAGTGTCCTTTGTATAATGTGTGAGTAGTAGGACCTCGTCTTAACGTTTTTGTTCGGGGAGCCCCGAGCTGCGGTGCGCTAACGCACGGCACCTCGAGGATGTGTACATTTATTGATCGGGTAATCGTATAGTGGGAGGGTATAACAACTCCCAGTTCCACTCCCAATGAGAATTGCCAAAGGCTTGTAATGAGCACCACGTACCAAGTCAGGAATCTTGACTCTTGATTCTTGACAACCCGAGAGTTTTCTCTCTGACAATAGACCGATCTCACTAAGCGTGCCGCGCATGCGTGACTCCGCCATAACTTTAGTTCACAGGAGGCAGACGGCCGTGCACGCGGGGGCTCGTGCTCCACTCGCGCAGGGCTCCAGCGAGGTCGTCGCACGTGCAGAAAGACTAAAGTTCTCTCGATACATTGCGGCAGCGGTGGCGTAGTCAAACAGGCTGGTGAGATCGGTCTATCGGCACCGTTCCTTGGCGCCACGGGCAGACAATAGGGAGTATTCACTGGGCGCCATATTTGTCGGTGCTGTCTAGAGCGCATGCTCAGAACGAGCCCACATAAATAGGCTGCTAAGACCGGCCATTTTGACGGTGTGCAATGCACGTTGCAAAAGAACCCTGGAAGCTAGCCATCAGCACGCGCTCTGCAGTCGCGCACACAGCTATGGCCACCAGAAGGTGGATGACCAGCGAAGCTATTTAGCACACGGCACAGACGTGACACAGAATTTTGAATGAAGGTACGCACACATTAATTGTCTCCATCGGTGGTCATGTGCCGAAATGTGCGCACACTCATGTCGAGGACTATCGCCGCCCCGAGGAGCCGGAGGAAACTAGACACGCGCGACGGGACCGCCACCCAGCGGAAGGAAAGAAAACTAGGTCCGCAAGCGCTTGGGACGACGACAAAGAGAAGTCGGTGCGAGCCCTCTCCGAGTTTTCGTTGACGCACACGAAAAGTCCACGGAACCCTAGCCCTATAAGCAGCTTGGTAACGAAAACAAATTACGTGTGCAAAAGGCGCGATGGCAGGTCAGCAGGATTGTTGTTTGTCGGGGTCCACTTTTTTAAGAGCCACATTTTTTATAACATAATAACAAAATAGAATTGGAGATTCTCCATTCGATTTCATTGCTATGGCCGCGCCGAAGGGCCCCTACAGGCGCCCTGGTTGTCTGCGTACAGCAGGGTGTCGTGCGGCGCCTCAAGGACGCTCCAGAGCATTACCAGGGCTTCTCTTAGGTAAATGAGCCTCGGTGGCGGTGCAATGAGCGCCTTCGTGGTGCGCGGCGTGATGCTGCCGAAGCCGACTTAAGGTGCAACCCCACCATTGGTTAGTGTGATTCTGAACCAACAGATGGCGGTGGGATCTCTTTCCAGACCTGTACATCAATGTGAGAAATCGTGTGTGGTGGCGCTTCGATACGGTGGGGTATTTTTCTATATCCTGAATTTGACATCCCTTGTCCCTTGCTTGTTTTTCTCTGCACGAGATTTCTTTGGAACGCGCACGGCTGCGCCGGTTCTCATGCAAGGGGGCCAGTTGCCTACGCTCCGAGCTCACGTCTCCAGCAAATGTGGGCAGAACAATACGCGAAAATCATCCTGAGCCAAATGGCCAGACACATGCACAAGAAAACCACCGATGCGTTAAAAAATATAAAATTGCCTTTGCGCCGTTATCGGAAATTTGAGAGGCCAATTACACATGTTTCAATGTGATAAGATTTATACTGTCACGAATGAAGGTGACGAGAGTGCGAACAGGGAACTGAAAAATAAAGGTTTAATCGGCGAACTTGTGTCAAACAAAAAAAAGTAAAAAAATAGCCTCGAGGCAGCAAATTAGCAGGCGGCGATTCGGCAGGGCAGCGTAACAGAGAGCGAGCGCGAGACTGACTCGACAAGTTCGCTGGCAGCTGCTTACCTACAGCGCGTTACTATCTCGAAAGTTGGGCATAGGAGGTTCGAGAACAAGAAAGTAGGGCGAAAGTTACGTCTGGTGCAAGAATGAACGCGAATCTTCTAGAAGTCCGTGACCGAGCGTTGCTTTCTCGGCTCTGCGGGCGGCAATATGACTGGCCGGCCCTTTTTTACGTGCATGTGTTTGTCTCTTTGTGAATTTCCAGGAAAACGTGATGACGAGATAGGCTTGGGTATCCAAAATTCTAGTTTGAGGAACTAAATACCTAAAAAATCAAAACAAATGAACTATTTTTTTGGTCAGTCAGGTGTCTCATTTAGGTAGCTGGGTGTCTATTTTGACCAAAAACCACGAGACTGGAAAATACAAAATTGACACTCAGGTTTAGATGTTTAGTTTGGTAAACCAAAAGTAGCACTGGTGCGGGAGTCATAACAGATAAATGCCGAGGTTAAAAATTAACTCACAGCAATAAATGATAAGAATTAATTTTAATACGAATCCAGTGATAAATGCAGTGACTGGCCAGGCAAAGATTATGGGTCTGTGGATAGCTTTTGCACATAGCTCAAGCAATGTACAGGGTGTCACAAAAAAAAATTAGTGTTTTTTTTTTTTACCGCAAGAATAATCTAGGCATCGCCGAACGCTCATTCTCCACCCAAAGGTAGCGCTAGAGATCACAACCAGATGTCAAAGTTTCAGCCCGATCCGATACCTTATTCAAGAGTTATAAGCGATTTTCTGAAACGTTCAATGGGAAAATGGCGGCCGACGGAATTTTTGAATACATGGGGCTTTATGGGCAACAGAAACCGAAAACTGGCAAAAATGGGCTCCATTTTCTCATTGCAATTTTCATAAAATCACTTATAACTTTTGAACAAGGTGTCCGTTCGGGATGAAACTTTGGCATCTGGTTGTGACCTAGCGCTACCTTTGGGCGGAGAATGAGCGTTTAGGCAATGCGTAGTTTATTTTTGTGATAAAGGAAACCCTGTACATTTTTTGTGACATCCTGTACCAGTCTTAATTCGGTGATTTATGCGCGCAAGTAGTGGTGTGCATAAATGAAAAAGATGCAAACGGGTAGAGTTTGGCGTTGTATAAAATATAGTGTAAGCACGCACATGGTACGCTGATCAAGAATGAAACAGCCCTACATTTTACACTAGCGTTGAGCGTATCAACAGTTAAGGGTAAATCAAAAGCTAAAGCTTGTATACATATATTGCTCAGGCCGTTATGTTTGAATGCTCATAGTACTCTATTACCCTCAGATTTGGTGTAAGTTGTCTGCTGATTGCTTACAACAAAAAGAAGGAAACATTCTAACTCTGGGTTGATAGAAAAACTCCACCTGCTGACAGCTACCAATCATCTCGGCGCCGACTATGAGTATTAACTGCATGCCAACGGTCGCGTCCTTAGAACGAGTTTTTCTCACGTGATTTCATACGATCATAATTGTTCTTGACAAACCACTATGTTTACTCAGGCAAGCGGTCATATGTGAAGCTCATAATATTTTGTATTGATTGTGGCACACATGGAAAGTTGCATAGGCTTTTTTTACAACTCGCGAAATAGAATGCTCCTGGGTTACCTTGGTCTCTAATGCATGTAGCACACAAAAGAGCACGAAATGAATCGCAGTGGGAAACGAAAACAATAATGATAAACAAGCGCGTAATCACGCGAAAACTGAGGGCATTGCAGATATACAGAAGGTAAGCTTTTTTTTCACTAAGCACATTACCAGGACAGTATTTAGTTTTATCGCGCGAGCGAAGCGGAGCATACAAGTGCGAGCATACTGCCCTGAACTACACTTCCGGTGAACAAACGCACCATCAAAAGCATTGAGCTCGCTTTTATGGCTTTTGGTGCGCTCAAACCTTTGAAAACACAATTATGTTCAATTCTATTATTTCAATAATTTTGATTAAGTGCGCCTATGTGTGTTTTCTATTTTTGTCTTTTGCGTTCACGTGCCATTTTCTTAGTTATATTACATTTTTCCAGAAGTCCGACAACTATAGTCTGTTTGATCATAAGTAAGAGCCGCATAATCAAAGATGTAGACCAAAAAAAGAAAGAAAAAAGGAGCGCGAACACGCTAACACACATTAAAAATGCAATGTAATGGCGCATTCAAAATTAGTCGTTAGTTTTTTAGAGAGCAGCAGTTGCGTAGGGCGACATTGTTACCCATTGAACATTATAAAAAGTGCAGTACAACTGTTAGCTCGCGGTCTTTAACGTGCATTACGCAGTATATATGGTACATGATCGCACGACGGTAGGATGCAGATGGGCGACTGAACCCAGGGTCCCGGCTAAAGCCGCTTGATAAAGGCGTTTATTGCAAGTACCGCCAATTATTGTTGTGGAAACGCGCAAGACACGTGCCACAAGCTGGTGCTTCGCCACCATTCGCTTTCAAGGGCCAGTCATTTTAGTGCTGCGCCGTCACTCACCTCAAAGGCCCGCTCCAGAGACGGGCCTCGTGCACTGGCATCTTTGAGGTTATTTCAAAAACCAACGCCCCAACAGGTTCTGCAGCGTGAGCTCCGTGCTTTGAACGGAGCTTGCGCTCGAGCATTTCTCGCAAGTGCTCTAATCTGCGGTGCCACAACACACTCGGCCAACGATCCCCCACCGCACTTGGTTTAGCCTGTGAGCTAAACCAAATGATCTACGTTTAGAGTATCGGCACTTTTCCCCCAATATTTTTGTGGGCACCGCCATCTTGGTGGTAAGTAACAAATAAAACGCAACCGCGGATCGTCATGA